CTTGGATAAAGTCATATTTTCAAGAAACAGTGATACATCTTTAGGTTGGGAAAAAATGTTTGAGATTGCTATTGGGGTGGCTAGGGGGATTGATTACTTACATCGAGGATGTGAAATGCAGATTTTACATTTTGATATCAAGCCACACAATATCCTTCTGGATGAGAATTTTAACCCTAAAGTTTCTGATTTTGGCCTTGCTAAACTATATCCTGCAAATGATAGTGTTGTATCTCTCACTGCGGTAAGAGGTACATTAGGATACATGGCTCCTGAATTATTCTACAAAAAAATTGGAGGCATCTCATAAAAGGCTGATGTTTATAGCTTTGGAATGTTGTTGATGGAAATGGTGGCAGGAAGAAGGAACACAAATTCATTTTCTGACCAATCAAGTCAGATATACTTTCCAGCATGGATTCATGAGCGATTTGATCAGGGAGTGGATATAGAGTCGGGAGATGTTACAGATATTGAAAAGAATCTTGTCAGGAAGATTGTCACAGTTGCATTGTGGTGCATACAAATGAAACCTGCTGTCCGTCCTTCGATGAGAAAAGTCTTGGAGATGCTTGAAAGTGAAGTTCAGCTACTTGAAATGCCTCCCAAGCCTTCTTTTGTTCCATATGAATTACATACTGCAAATCATGTCAATATAAATGTCAATATAAGTCAAGCAGCTCAGCCAACTATGTCACTGGATGCTAGAACATAAGGTGCACTCCAAATGCCTTACCTTGACTTGCTTACGCATAACAGCGTCACATATGTTTACATATACTGCATTGTTTATTAAGTAAATGACCTTTTCACAACTCGAATATATCAATCTTCAAAATTTGTACTTTGATTTATTTGATCACATATGGTTTGTTAATGAAATAAGATTACTCTTTTGATAGAATATTTGAGCTTTATTTGATATTCATTTATTTAGAAAATAATCTCATGGCTCTTTCTATCTTCTATTTACTGATGCTTCTGTTGCTGGAGGCCAAAGCAAGCATTGTGTCCCTTCTTCCTGTGGAACCCTCAATATCAGTTTCTATTGTGGTTAACAAGAGATAATAGATTAATGTTCCAGGATCTTTTATTACATGAACATTAAATGTTCCATTTTAGGTGAATCCAAAGACTAATAAATTCAACTCTCTCCCATGTGAGCCAAAACATTTCAAAAAAGAAAAATTACAAAAGAAAAGCTTCACTAAATTCGTATGAACTAACTATAAAACATTGATTTTGTCAAACATTTTAACAGTTAGGGGAGATTTGAAAACATCACTAATTAGGGCAGCAACCTGGACCAATGGTATAATGACGCGTTGGCATGATTGTGTTAGTTTTCCTTACAATTGAACAGCAGGTTGCAAACTACCATTGCCAGTTACCTTCCATATGAAAGCAAACTGATTGTTTCTGTATAATCTGAAGATGAAGATTCAGTTTGATTTGTTTGGTCTCCCACAGTCCTTTCTTGTGCCTCTTCAGGAAACAGAACAGGTTTGGGGGGCATTGGCAGGCTTTTGAGTTTTTCTTGAACCATCTCTACAACTTTGTCAATTGGAGGACGATCACTAGGCTTCATCTATATACACCATAATGCTACTAAAATCATCTTCTTTATTATTCTATTTTTTCTTCCTCTGTTGCAACTACTGTCGCCTTATTCGTAATATTTATTTCCAAAAAAATAGTTTTTCTAAAATAGACTTTGATTACGGTATCATTTAATGTGAAAATATTGATCATTACATGAATTTCATTACAATATTATTATATCAATTTATATTATATTAATCATTAGATGAGGGTAGGTCTTTTAATATTGGAGTTTCTCCTCCTATCCAACAATCTTTGTTTTACAGTTTGATACAATTTAAATTGTAAAATAAAGTTTTTATTTTAAAAACAATAATTAAAGATTTTTTAACTTGCACAACTTAGTGAGTATTAAATAAATTATCAAAACCTTATTGAAGTAATATCTATTTTAGATTTAGTGACTGTTTTAATTGTGGGTTATTTACATTTTATAACGACTGAAATGCTTTCATTTACTTCTTCTATGCAGACTTTTTTTTTTTTCTTATCCCTCCTTCTTCGTCTGCCTTCTTCTCTCTCGCTGGCCCAATGCTTCCCGATTGAAATCATTCTCTTATAGTAAGAGATCAAAATCAATTTACATTGCAACTTAAAGTACAAAAATTGAAGCATGGTGTGTTAATAGAAAAGTCCCATCAAGAGGAGAACAAGGCATTAAAGGATATGGTGGAGTGTAAGTGTGAGAAGAGAGCTAGCAAAGGGAATAACGAAAGATTGGAGAATTCAAAAAATCAGTCAAGTTGCTAATTGAATTCAAGAGTCAAATTAAACTCACCATAATTGAGGATTTAAGAAAAAGTAGAGCTAGAGGT